AGGGAAAGATGCACGGGTGGTAAAACTGTAAAGAAGAGGTAAGGACATAGTTATCACAAACCTGAGAACAGAAGAACCTTCTGGGGCTGAAGTGGTTTTAGGAGGAAGGTGCCTGGGGAGGGGTAGATTGAGTGTCTTAAGTACAGGGAATATGTGTTTTCTTAACCCAGGTGGTTGGTACATGCATTTTGACTAATTAGTATTCATGTTTTATAAACTCTCATGAATGGGTGGTATAAAGAAAGAAAAACAAAAAGAACCCATAAGGAGGGCTAAGACTGAGGTCACTGATGAGTGTAAAGGTACAGCCAGGTGTGTGCACAGCCACCACGAATCTTTCTGTGGGGAATCGTGCTCCGAGCCTTTCTGAAGTGTTGTTACAGAGAAAAATTGCTCAGGACACTTGTTTAAAAATGGCAAGGAAGATTTTATTCAAGACTATTGCAATAGGGGAGAGAGATTGCGCTCAATGTGGATACAAGGACAAGTGGGGATTTATAGCCAGCAGGCAGGGTGGAGGACAGGAGGAAGAATTACCTAGAGGAATTAGGTTAGGATCAAGGGAGGTAAGGAAGGAACTGACTGGCTGTCAAAGCTGAGGAGATTCTGGATGAACTGGCTTAGCACGATTCTTTGATAAGTCTGGACTCAGTAGGTAAAGGAGAGGCCTAGAGGAGAAGGGGGCTCAAGGGAGCCCCGTTAAAGTTTGGCCAAGGGCATCCCTGTCAGTGTGTGTACCCCCTTCTCTGCTGAATTTTGTCAACATTTCCCACGTATGAAATGTTGCGCTCAGGCATTCTGTAAGGCAGTGGTTCTCATCTGGGGGCAGTTTCACCCTTTGGAACACCTGGCAATGTCTGAAGACATTTTGGTTGTCACAACTCTAAGTGACTAGTGAATAGAGACCAGGGATGCTGCTACACCTCCTACAATGCACAGGACAGCCCAACCACAAAGGCCCATCTGGTCCAAACTATGAACACCTTCTAACGATGCTATAAAACAACTATTCCAGTAAAACTTAATTATATTATAAAGCATACACAGAAATAGGATTTAGAAAAAGGTAAAAGGTAAAATGATTTTTTCTTATTTTCTTCGCCGCTGGGGTTGTTGGTTTTCTTGTTGTTGAGGTTTGAGCGTTCTTTATACATATATTCTGGGTACAAGTCCTTTGTCAGATATAAGCTTTGCAAACATTGTGCCTTGTCTTTTCATTCTTTTAACAGTCTCTTTTAAAGATTAGATGTTTTAAATTTTGATGAAGTCCAATTTATGTGTTGGTTCTTTTATGGATTGTACTTTGGGGGCCATATCTAAGAAATCCTTGCCTAATCCATAGTCACAAAGATTTTCTCCTGTGTTTTCTTCTAGAAGTTCTATAGTTTTAGAGTTTGCATTTGGGTCTGTGTTCCACTGTGAGTTAACTTTTGTACATGGTGTTAAACATAGACTCAAGGTCATTTTTTTGCATATAGATGTTTAGTTATCCCAGTACCATTTGTTGAAAAGGCTACCTTTTCCCCACTCCATTCCCCATGTACTTTGGTCAAAAAACAGTCGTTCACAAATGTTTTGGTTTATTTCTAGGCTATGTATTCTGTCGCATTCTCTTTCTCCATTTTTGCATCAGCATCACATTGTTTTGGTTACTACAGCTTTATAGTAATTATGGAAATCAGGGAATGTTAGCCCTCCAACTCTGTTCTTTTTCAAAGTCATTTGACTATTTTAGGAGTATTTAGACTACTTAGATTTTCTGTGATTGTTAATGTAATTGGGCTTGGAAAGACCATTTTGCTATTTGTTTTCTATTTGCCTTTTCATCTCCTCTTTCCTCTTTTCCTGCCTTCTTTTGAATTAATCAAGTTTTTCTTTATGATTCTCTTTTATCTCCTCTGTTGGCTTATTAAACTGTTTTAGGGAATATATTATACCTTAACTTATCAAGTTTACCTTCAAGTGCTAATACACTATTTCATGTATAAGAACCTTACGATAGTATGTGTCCATTTCTCCCCTCCCAGCCTTCATGCTATTTTATTATGATTTTTAATTTTATCAATATTTTAAACCCCACAAGACATTGCTATTTTTGCTCAAATAGTCAAATGTCTTTTAAAAATAATTAAGTAATAAAAAAGCATAGTGGTCACCATTTCTGGTGTAAATGCCTTGGTGTAGATTAAGAGGGCCATTCAATATAATCTTCCTTCGGCTGGAAGGGCATCCTAAACATTTCCTGTAGTGCAGGTCTGCTGGTGATGAATTCATTCACTTTTGTACATCCGAAAAAGTCCTTATTCACTTCCATTATTTTAAAAGGTATTTTTGCTGGGTAGAGAATTCTGGGTTGATGGTTTTTCTCAGTACTTTAAAAAGGTTGCTCCACTGTCTACTCACTTGTATAGCTTCTAGTGAGAAATCTGCTGTAAATCTCATCTTTGTTCTTCTGTACTTATAACATGTTATTTTCCGGCTGCTTTAAACATTTTGTCATTATCACTGGTTTTGAGCAAATTGACTGTAATGTGCCTTGATGTTTACTTTATGTTTCCTTTGCTCAGGATTCATTGAGCTTTTTGGATCTTCGGGCTAATAGTTTTCACCAAGCTTGGGAAAAATTTAGCTATTATTTCTTCAAGTATTTATTTCTGTTTTGCCCCCACTCTCTTTTGAAAGCTCCAATCACCTGTATATTTTAAGTTGATTGAAGTTGTCCATCTTTGATGGCATGTGACCTGCAGGCTATGATAGAGGTCTCCCACTCTGCCTCTTCCAGGGGTCTGAGAACAGCCTGTGCAACCAGTACGAGGAGAAGGTGCGGCCCTGCATTGACCTCATCGACTCCCTGCGGGCCTGGGTGTGGAGCAGGGCCCGGCCCCGCCCGCCATCGCTGTCACTGGGGACTAGAGTTCGGGCAAGAGCTCCGTGCTGGAGGCTCTGTCGGGGGTCGCCCTTCCCAGAGGCAGCGGTAAGCTCTGCCGGGCCAGCCTCCTGCCAGCCACAAGGCATCCCGACGACCATTGGTTTAAGGGGAGGTCTCTGGGAAGGCCCCCAGGAGGGCAGCACCCACAGGCCCTGGACAGCTGCATAAGCACTTGTTAATCAGCTCAGGCTGCAGTAACAGAGGACCTCAGACTAGGAGCTTAAACAATAGAAATTTACTTCTCGCAGTTCTGGAGTCTGGAAGCCCGAGATCAAGGTGTCAGCAGGGTTGGTCTCTCCTGAGGCCTGTGTCCTCGACTTACACGTGACGCTCTTCTCCTTGTGTCCTCACGTGGCCTTTTCTCTGTGTGCAGACATGTTGTTTAGGGCCCCACGCTTATGACCTCATTTAATGTTAATTACCTCTTTAAAGATATACCCTATCTCCAAGTATAGTCACATTGGGCATTAGGGGCTTCAACATATGAGTCTGACAGGGTGGCGAGGGGGGGAGACCCAATTCATAACATCCTCTCATCACATGATTAGTGTGGATTGTACATAACCTACACTTGCGGAAGGTCTGAGTAAATGCATATGGGTCCTCAGCCCTGAACACTGTGCGCGTGGGTGTAGCCCCTTCCCAAGAGGTGACCCTCCATCTGGGAGGTGAAGATTGGTGCTCTGCTTAGTGGTGCTTTTGGAGCTACCAGGCCACGGATCAGTGAGGGCTCTAGGGAAGAAGAAAGACCTGAGCTGGGTCTTGAAATACAGGTCAGATGTGAAGGCGGGTGGGATTTGGACGAAGTTTACAGTAAGGGGACTGTGGTGAGGTGGCCTGGTGGGGGCGGTCCCCCTTCCTGATAGGAGTGGGGTGTGTGCACTGGGGGTTGATGGAGGGCATTTGCAGAAGTTTGGGGCTCCCCACTGTAGTTTGCCACCTGGGCTGATGGAAAACACTGGAGTGAAGAGGGGGTCCTAAAGAAGTGGCTTTCAAGCCAAACACCACCTGAGACATACAGTCAAGATGTACATTCGTGAGCCACCCAGATAGAATGTGTCGGAGTGTCAGAGGGTGAGACCAGAAGGTCTACAGTTTTAACAGTCTCCCCAGATGATTATATAGAAATTTGAGAACCACTGGTCTAAGACAACCATATAGGACTGTTAGGAGCAGAGTATAGAACTGATGGATAATGACCTCCTAGGTATTGTTACAAGATGTCCTCTGGTGCTGAAACTGAAAAAACTTGTGAATGAAGATGAGTGGAAAGGCAAAGTCAGTTTCCGGGACAAAGAGACCGAGATATCAGATGCTTCGCAGGTGGAAAAGGAATCAGTGAAGGTAAGTGTCCCATGTTTGTTTGTCATTGCCTATTTGGCTGTCTGGTCAACCAGGCGAAGTGGGTGGGGTCTGCCTGTCACCATTCCCACTCTCCCCTTTCTGGGCCCATCCTGGTCCCTTGGGAACCCTCCCTTCCCTACATCCGGCCCCCAGCTTTCTTGTATTTTCTCTTCTTTTACTCTCATTAAGACCAGTGCTTTGGACAGAATCTGACCTCAGTAATTTATTGTTTAGTATGTAAGTATGTACCTGAGCGTAGTGTGAATTTTGAAGCTTGTCTCCAAATATGGAGTATTGGCCCCTTATTCAAGGGCTTCCCCATCCCACAGATCTGATGGAAGACGTATACGGGTATGGGACCAGGGAACCCCTTCACCTATTAACCTGGTAAAAAGGCATTCCAAAATGCTGGCTGGGGCATCACTGAACCCTATTCAGAAATGGGGGTCTTTCTTCTCCAAGAGTGGGGTGCATGTCCTTGCATAACCCTGGTTTAGGCTAATTTATGGCAGGGCTCAGTAAATGCAGACCACAGAGATTACATCATTGATGTGAGACATCTGAAAAGAGAAACTTAATGCTTGGACTTATGAGTGCACTCTCAGAATGGGACTTGTTTGTATGTCGGGGACTCACTGCATGCCTCATCCATGAATCACAGTGGGTGGAAGTTGCTTTCGGAGGATTCGCTGTAATGTGATATATTCCATCCTAAGCTCTATTCTGTTTTATTCCTTCCTCTTCTCTAGCCCAGGTTGCCATTGCTGGGGGAGGCACGGGAATCAGCCATGAGCTGATTAGTCTGGAAGTCACCTCCCCTCATGTCCCAGATCTGACCCTGATAGACCTTCCCGGCATCACCAGGATCGCTGTGGGCAATCAGCCAGCCGACATTGAATATCAGGTGAAACGTCAGGTTCCATCCTGGCCCGGGCCTTGTGGGGGTGGGGCTGCATTAGAGCATCAGTGAGTCCAGGACTGAGCTTGAAGAGTGGGTATTAGGAGGTAGGGAATTTGGAGAGTGTGATGGTTGAAATCTACTCCACCAAGTTGGGTGGAAGCTTCTATGGAAAAAGACAAACAGGCAAAGTTGGAAATGCGTTTTATTTGTGTTTTATGTGGCGACTCGTTTTGGTCATAGTTACATTTTGTGCCATGTCTAAACCAGCACATATTAGGAAGGGGTTTTATGTGGGAAGCATAAGAGAGCATTAGAAGCAAGTCTAATGATATTCCTATATCAGTGAATCTCACCCAGTGGATTAAAGATTTAGGGAATAGTCAAGCAATTCTTTTGGCATCTTGTTTTTCATTGTGACTGTCAGATTTGAGGTCTTCGGAGATAGTTAAAGAGTTAAGACCTCACAGTTTTCCCTGTTTCAGCCACAGAGAACTTAGTTCCTCTGACTTGGGAAGTGCCACCAGGCTTGTGTTGTGGGCTCGGTTCTCCATAGTTGCTTCTTTGGAGAAATACCTCTGGGACCTGGAGGTTCTGAAGCAAGTACAAGGTCAGGACCTGTCTCATCTTTCATGCCCTCTCATTTTCTTACAGATCAAGTCTCTCATCAGGAAGTACATCCTTAAGCAGGAGACCATCAACTTGGTGGTAGTCCCCGCTAATGTGGACATCGCCACCATGGAGGCACTGTGCATGGCTCAGGAGGTGGACCTCCAAGGACTGGACCATAGGTAAGAAGACGGAAGAATCTAAAAATAGTAGGTGGCTTGATAGTGGAAAAGCATCCCTTGAATCCAGTGGATGCTTCCTGGCACACACACAAGATGAGAACCTTTTGAGAACACATTGAGGCCAGATGAAATGGGCCACATTTGACTCTTGTTGGCCATGTGTTGGCTTGTAATCCTTGTCTACCTGCTTATAAGAGGCATGGTGGGTTCAGGAGGTGAGGCAAAATCAGCAAGCAGTTATGTCAGTTGACAGTGCATTTGAGGTATAACAACCCATGTGTCCCAGACAGATGAATGGATACGCAAAATGTGTTGTATCAGTACAATGGAATAGTACTCAACCTTAAAAAGGAAGGATAGGGCTTCCCTGGTGGCACAGTGGTTGAGAGTCCGCCTGCCAATGCAGGGGACACGGGTTCGTGCCCCAGTCCGGGAAGATCCCACATGCCGCGGGGCGGCTGCGCCCGTGAGCCATGGCCGCTGAGCCTGCGCGTCCGGAGCCTGTGCTCCGCAATGGGATTGGCCACAACAGTGAGAGGCCCGTGTACCGCAAAAAAAAAAAAAAAAGGAAGGATATTCGGACACCTGCTACAATGTGGATGGATCTGGAAGACATTATGCCTAATGACATAAGCCAGGGAAAAGGACAAATACTGTGTTATCCCACTTATATGAGGGATCTATAGTGGTCAGGTTCATAGAGACAGGAATTCAAACGGGGGGAAAGGGGGAAAGAAGAGTGGGTGTTCAGTGGTGACAGAGTCTCAGCTTGGGAGGAGTAAAAGGTTTTGGAAATGGTTAGTGATCAAGGTTGCCCAACAGTGTGGAAGTGCTTTATGCCCCTGAACTGTGCACCTAAAAATGGTTAAAATGGTAAATTTTATGTTTTAAAAAATGCGTTTGGCTGTAAATAGAGGACCTGAGTACAGTGGCTGAAACAAATGGCGATTTATTTTCACGCCTAACAAGAACTCTGGGGCTTCCCTGGTGGCGCAGTGGTTGAGAGTCCGCCTGCCGATGCAGGGGACACGGGTTCGTGCCCCGGCCCGGGAAGATCCCACATGCTGCGGAGCGGCTGGGCCCGTGAGCCATGGCCGCTGAGCCTGTGCATCTGGAGCCTGTGCTCTGCAACGGGAGAGGCCACAACAGTGAGAGGCCCGCATACCGCAAAAAAAAAAGAACTCTGGGCACAGGCTGCTTCCCTCGGGACCGCTGTTCAGTGACGCTGTCAGGACCCAGTCCCTTCCACCTTCTGCTCCACCATCCTTAGCTGCAGGCGCTCATTCTTTGCTTGTCCTGCTGCCTGTCGTGCCTGGGATGGGAATCTCTGGGCCAGGGCAGCAGCTACCAGTGGACACGGTAAACCTCAGGGTTAGTCCTGGGCTGGCTTTGCTGGACAGTCCCACAGGGCCCCGCACCCGGAAGAGTCCACACCTGGTGTGATGCTCTGATGCTGCCATCTTGCAATACTCAACGTTTGAACAAGGGGCTCTGCGTGTCCATTTGGTAATGGGCCCCGCAAGTGATGTAACTGGTCCTGGCTGGACCAGTGTTCCTCCAAGTGTGAGCCAGGCCCCACCGGTACCTGAAATAATTGGAGAATTTTTAGAAATGCAAGTCCCTCGATCCCACCAAACCTCCTGAATCAGAATCTCTGGGATGGGGCCTGAGATTCTGCCTTTTAAGACCTACCTTAAGGTGGTTCAGACGCACAGGAAAGTTTGAGAGTGAACTCCTCCACTGGACAGAAAGAATACAAAAGGGCCATTACACTCTACTGTCTTTGGTGTGAGAGCTGAGATCTGGGTGATGTGAGCTTGGGGAGAACACAGGGGCTGAGCCTCACACCTTCGCTCTGCAAGCCCTATTGTCTGCCCTCAAGCAGGGTAGGAGGAAACCAGGGGCCAGGGGACCTGCCTTCCCAGGGGCGGGAGCTGTCCTTACTTTTCGCTCTGCGAAGCTGTGAGCATTCTCTAACCAAAGTCTCTGGGTCTCAGGAATCTTGACGAAGCCCGATCTGGTGGGGACAAAGGCCCCTAAGACAAGGTAGTGGACATGGTGAGAAACCTCGTCTTCCACCTGAAGAAGGGCTACATGGTCGTCAAGTGCCGGGGCCAGCAGGACATCCAGCACCAGCTGAGCCTGACCAAGGCCCTGCAGGAGGAGCAGGACTTCTCTGGGAACCACGCCCATTTCAGGTAGGCGGTGGTGTTTTCCGAGTGTGAACCAAAATCGAGGACCTCCGTCCTCACGGGGGAAAATGGATGCTGTCTGAGATCAGATTTCGAGAGTATCCATGTGTGTTTGTTCCTTGACAATGACCACGGAATTTGCCTGGAAGAAAAAAGGAGGAATTCACAAAGTACTGCAAAGAATAAATTTAAAACATCAAAATAAGGCAGAGATTTTTGCAATAACTGAAATAGTATGGTTCTGGAACGGGAATATAAACGTAAGTGAAACAGGATAGAAACAAAGTAGAAAACCCAGAAATAAGATTCAGATACATATATTTGGTCTATGATAAATGAGGCAATTCAAATCCCTGGGCTATGTCTCTTTGATCATCCATCTGTGGCGTTGAGATAATTGTTTAATATTTGGGAAAAAATTAAATTGTGACCTTACTTAACATGGGATACCAAAATATAATAAATATCAGTTGACGTTTAAAATTAAGTACAAGAAAGGCACCATAAGCATCCCAGAAGAAAATATAGACAGAGAATTTATAATGCCAGCATAGAAGTCTTTCTAACCCTAATGCCAAAAATGACATCTTTTAAAAAGGAAAAGACTGATAAATTGGTTAGATTTGAAACAATGAGAAGACGTAGAGTTGGTGGGAAAGGAGGGGCGTGTGGACCTTCACCTCTGCTGCTGGGAATGTGTGCTGAGGTCACACGCGAACCGGTCTGCATAGGTGCGTCCCCGAGGTTGAGTTCCATTTCTAGGAATTCCACCCAGGAAAGTAATCAGAGATGCATCCACTAATGTTGGCTAAAGGAGGTTCAGCACACAGGTTTGTTTTTTGTTTAAAGTTTTATTAGAGTATAGTTGCTTTACAATGTTGTGTTAGTTGCAGGTGTACAGCAAAGTGAATCAGTTATACACATACATATATCCACTCTTTTTTAGATTCTTTTCCCATATAGGTCATTACAGAGTATTGAGTAGAGTTCCCTGTGCTCTACAGTGGGTCCTCATTCGTTATCTGTTTTATACATAGTAGTGTGTTTATGTCAATCCCAATCTCCCAGTTCATCCCAACACCCCCCTTACCCCTTGGTATCCATAAGTTTGTTCTCTACATCTGTGTCTTTATTTCTGCTTTGCAAATAAGTTCATCTGTACCATTTTTCTAGATTCCACATATAAGCAATATTATACAATATATTTTTTTACAGATTTGTTTTGTACTTTTTGCGGTACGCGGGCCTCTCACTGCCGTGGCCTCTCCCGTTGCGGAGCACAGGCTGCGGACGTGCAGGCTCAGCGGCCACGGCTCACGGGCCCAGCCGCTCCGCGGCACGTGGGATCCTCCCGGACCAGGGCACGAACCCGCGTCCCCTGCATCGGCAGGCGGACTCTCAACCACTGCGCCACCAGGGAAGCCCACAGATTCGTTTTTAATTGTGAAAATTTGGAATCTAAATGTTGAAAATCATGGGATTTATATAAATGAACCAGAATAGGAGATCACAGCGTTGGCAACAATTAGACTGCTGTGCAATGAGATGCCAATGAAAAGGAGCTTATAAGATGTGGAGAAAAAAAGTGACACAGTCACTGAGATCCCTTGTGTGCACACATGTGTATGTAGGTGAAGACCCATGTCCTTCGTAAAGGTTATCACATTTGATGCTCCCAGAAGCCTGCAGAGCCATATAATTCAGAGGAGATACTTGTACACCTGTGTTCATAGCAGCATTATTCACAATAGCTAAAACATGGAAGCAACCTGAGTGTCCATTGATAGATGAATGGGATAAACAAAATGTGGTCCATCCATACAGTGGAATAGCAATTGGCCTTAGAAAGGAAGGAAATTCTAGCACATGTTGTAACACGGATGAACCTTGAGGACGTTGTGCTCAGTGAAATAAGCCAGTCACAAAAAGACAAACACTGTATGATTCCACTTATACAAGGTCCCCAGAAGAGTCAAATTCATAGAGACGGGGCCTGGGAGGAGGGGGATGGGGAGATGTTTAATGCGGACAGAGTTTCATTTGGGGAAGATGGGATAGTTCTGGAGGTGGATGGTGGTGATGGACGCACAGCAATGTAATTGTACCTAATACCACTGAATTTGGGCTTACAAATGACTGAAATGGTGAATTTTATGTTATGTATATTTTACCACAATTTAAAAAATTGACAGGTGTGGAAACTGAAACTGAGGCATGAGTGTACTCTTGCAAAGAGGTGTGTGAACTCATGCTTCCTGGCTGCCCTTCATCCTAAAAAGTCCCTTAAAATATAGAAAACCATGTAATAACTCACCCTGCAAACACATATTTGG